AGTTCCTGGCTGATTTAGCTCCTGTGGAGGGCTCTTGTGTTCTCACACGATAGAGAGAGAGAGAGCTGTCTGGCGTCTTCTCCTGTAAGGACACTAATCCCGTAGTATCAGGAATCCGCCCTGATGGCCTCATTTAACCTTAATTACTTCTTTGCTCCCAATACGGCTATGCTGGGGGTTAGACCTTCAACATATTGAAGATGGATATGATTCAGTCCACAGTACATATGCTCTTTAAAGCTATAGTAACGTAAGAAGTATAAAGTGAGTTGTCCTGTAATCTCAACCCATATATATGGGCTCTCTTTATAGTTGTTCAGATCTTTCCATATTTTCCAGTGTGCATATTTCTTTGCATGTGTGTGTGCATGCAAAGTATAGATGTTAGTGTTTATGATTATAGTTTACATATTATTCTGTAATCTAACATTTTCATTTAACACTTCCTGAATTTTTTACAGTAGAAATACACTGTACACTTATACATTGTTTAAATGTTTTAGTACTAAATTTTTTTAAACATACTGAATTATATATAGATTCATTCTTACAACTCATTTTTTATATAAAATATATAATGTAATGGAGAAGGAAATGGCAACCCACTCCAGTATTCTTGCCTGGAAACTGCCATGGACAGAGGAGCCTGGTGGGCTACAGTTCATGAGGCACAAAAGAGCTGGACATGACTAAGCAACTATAGTAGCATGTAAAATCTTCTTAAATGAAAACATGTATCTTTCCTTTATTCATTTTGGGTGTTATGGAGTATTCTTACTATATTGTGTTAATATACTACAATAGACTTAAACATTTATTATTTTCTTTATGGATATTAAAGTCATTTGCAATATTGCAAAGGACTTCCTATTTCAGAGTCCTTATGTAAGTACAAGGTAGATTTCTAGGTTTTGAATAAGAACAATTTACTGTTAGATAAATATTGCCAAAGTGTCTTTTGGACAGTGTACATTGATACCACATCCTTTATTAATCTGGCAAAATATTATCTAAAAGTTTTAGCCAACATTAGAGGTGAAAATAGGAGGCAGTTGTTTTAAATTTTGTATTTCTGTTATTTTTAATGAGTTTGAGCATTATCATATTTATTTATGCTTTTTTCTTTCTTATAAGAATTATCTGCCCTTATTCACCTTAAATTTGGTTTATTTGTATCTTTTCATCTTAGTTTTAGATCTCTGCATTAGTATGTATATTAAATTGTTTTTTATGTATTTTCAAAATGCTGTCTTCTGATTTTTAAACCATGAGTAAATAATGAATAAGGGAATGAATGGTAAGAAAGGCAAACACCGTTAACTGAAGTGTGAGGTGGTTATTACACTCCCATGTGTAAAGCAGATAGCTGATGCGAAGCAGCTCTATAGCACAGGGAGCCCAGCCTCGTGCTCCGTGATAGCCTCAAGGGGTGGGATGGGGGTGCGTGGAGGGAGGCTCCAGAGGGAAGGGGTATATATTAATATATAGTTATGGCAGTTCTATGGCAGAAACCAAGGCAGCATTGTAGAGAAATTATCCTCCAATTAAAGAAGAGTTAAGCACGCTGGGGCACGTGTGTTACAGACACGTGTACTCAGGCCACTGCGGGGTCCTGGAGGAGCGGTCTCTGAAGCAGGGTGGGAGGTGGAAGGTCCCTGTGCCACGTGAACCTAGAGCTGGGCTCTAAAATGTGAGTAGAAATCACTGCCAGAAAAGTTATTCCAGGGAGGGAATGCAGCAATCCAAATGGAAAAGAACAAGATCTATTCTGGAAATTAGATATAATTCTCTGTGCCAAGCACAAGGTCCTGTACAGTGAGAGCGGTGAGACAGAGCCACAGAGATGGAAAAGTACTAATTGAGCAGCATGCTTATCACAGTAAGGCATTTAAACTTTCCCTGAAAACTGGGAGGAGCACTGATAAGTCAAGATTTGGATATAGGAAGACTGTTCTAATACAAATACGAAAAATAATGTGGAAGGAATCTAAAAGCAGGTAGACCAGCTTGTGGTCTATTTGAGGCAGGCATTAATCTTTTCATTGTCATAATGGACATGACACCACCTGTGTGGAAAATAAAAGCCTTTAAATGTCCAATAATTAAAATTGAGTTAATTCCAGAAGACTATATACCCAGAGAATGGGGGATAATTGGGTTAGAGAGATTTTTCATTTTCTTCTGTAGACAGATACTTTTGCATTATTTTTATTTTTTAATCAAGCATAGACTTTTCTAAGAAGTAAGTTTGAAGCTAATCAATAACAGAAATATTGAGTGTTTTTGTGGACCGGCAAATCAGTATGAACCCCAGTTTTAACATGACTGCACATGTGGGCGTGCTAATACTTGGTTGCATTCCTATTTTATAAGTATTCCAGTAAAAAAATGCTTCTGCTCTTCTTTGTTATCGTCAGATTGCATCTGGAACCTGGTGGTCCCAGATCAATGTGGAGAATGTTCAGGAAAAAGGAACTGCAAGTGAAATGACATCCACTCATGTCAGATAAGAAAATGGAGATGCTGTGCCTGGCACAGGTCTGATGGGATATTTAGCTTTGGTTATTGATGATGTGTTTGCCAAGGAGAAACAAGACAAATTCACTAAATCTCTAATGAACATTGGAAAGAGAAATTGGAGTTATAATAGGGCAGATTTGACTTAAAAAAGAGAAAGAAGTTGAATGGGTGTCAGTTTTTTTAATGCCTGGAAAACAAACATTTGTGATATTTTTGCCAGCTTCTCATAAACTGGCAAAATTGCAGTAGTCAGGCTTTCATTTAATCAATGCTTAAAGCCAGTTCTGTTGTGATAGACTCTATACGGTTCAGCCACATTTATTTATATGTAAATGCATCTAACATTTTATGTGTGTGTTTCTCTTTTTGTTAAATACAACTAACGTTTTCATTTCTTAAACTGGTTATGCTAGACCTCATTTCATGTTTGCACACTAACACACCAATAGATGGTATTGGCAATAAAAAATGATTGGTTTTCTCAGCATTATTGGATCTCTCCTCAACTTAACCGTTTACATCTTCTTTTCTCACAAGCACTCTGTGTATAAGCCTAAATTATCCTCATGCTTCTGTCAGGTCGGTTTATTTTTCTTCCTTGATTCTTGCCTCATTACAACAAAGATTTGGAATGACAGTCTAAAGTGTTTAAAACAACAGACAAGTTATAGTTCAGTTCACCTCAAGCAGATAGACCTTTCATTAGACAGACATTCTCAAGATATGGGAGCAGGCCGACCTCAAAGGAGTCTTCTTTTTCCCTGCTGCTGCTGCTACTGCTAAGTCACTGCAGTCGTGTCCGACTCTGTGCGACCCCATCCCTGGGATTCTCCAGGCAAGAACACTGGAGTGGGTTGCCATTTCCTTCTCCAACGCATAAAAGTGAAAAGTGAAAGTGAAGTCGCTCAGTCATGTCTGACTCTTAGCAACCCCATGGACTGCAGCCCACCAGGCTCCTCCGTCCATGGGATTTTCCAGGCAAGAGGACTGGAGTGGGCTGCCATTGCCTTCTCCGCTAGCTACCCCTTTTTTATACAGCATATGTCCTCGTTTTGGTTATGCTTTGTGCAAAATAGGGCTTGTACCCACTACCAGTCAATGAAAAGCAATGCAAATGGACATACACTCAAAGCCAATTGACAATTGCAAGTTATCTAACAGCAGGCTGTGTTGTTTCTATCTTCCCATAATTCAGTCTATTGTGACAATCAGATGTAGAATATTTGTGAACCCTTAATGGGCCCCTAGTTGCCTAAGGTTACTTGGAAAAGCCCCTGTGGTAAGTTTGTACTCACTGTGTGTCTAAGGGCATATGTGCAGGAGTTGGAAAAGTCTCTGTGGTTAATTCTGTAGCGTATCTGTGAGCTCTCTTGGGGATGTCTGAGATGGGTTTTAGAGATCAGCTTGCCTCCCTTTCAGCCAGGCAACCCTCACTGCTCATGCCTAACTTCCTACCTAACATTTTAATGTTTCGTGAAGGTTTCTTACCCACAGCCATTAGTATTTTATTCTCTCACTAACAAAGAGAATGGAGTTCCCTGCAAAAGAGCTGTCCTCTGGTCTTGCTATGGCAGATACCCCAGAAGATAAGACTTCAGCTTCGTCTGTGGCTTTAAGGTCTGCTACCTTGGCAGTTGGTGATTACCCAACAACCTGGCATTAGCCTAGACTACACTGGGTTGTGAGATGTACTCTGCTTGGCCCTCCTCCCAGGCTGCTGATAAAGGCAACAGTTTATGTTTTTTCCTGCTTAACTGATATATTTCCAAGATGACTTAAAGTTTAAGCCCGAGGAAATATTGCTTACTTGGTGGAATTTGGACCATCATTTTGCAAATATTCTCAAGTTCTTTGATTGGAAAGTGGATGTATTAGGGTTCTCCAGAGAAATGGAGCCAATAGGACATATATAAATAGGAAGATGTGTATGTCTGTGTGTGTGTGTGTGCACATATATATATATAGAGAGAGAAGGAATTTATTGAAAGAATTGGGCCTGTGATTATAGAGATTACAGAGATTAACAGGCCCCCAGATCTGCAAGTGGGTTGATAAACTCAAGACCCACAGAACCAATGATGTAGTTCAAGGCTCTAGGCTGGCAGCCTCAAGACTCAGGAAGAGCCAGGATGTCTCAATTCAATTCGAAAGGAAAGGAAAATAGCCACCGTGCTGATCTGAAGGTAGTTAGGCAAGAGGGATCTCCTCTATTTGGGGGGGACCAGCCCTTTTGTTCTAGTCAGACCTTCATATGACTGGATAAGGCCCATGCACAGCAGGGAGGCCAATCTGCTTGACTCAGCCACACCCAAAAATGCCCTCACAGAAATACGCAGCGTAGTGTTTCACCAAATACTGAGCACACCGTGGCCCGCTCAAGTAACAACCGTCACAATCGCATTAGCAGATCAGGTGTTAACATTGCTCGTACATGTTTATTGCATGTTATCTGCCTTTTAATTCTCTCTTTCTCCTATCAGGGATTATTTACTTAGCATCAACTGTTAGTCATTTGGAATCCACCACACTTTTGCTGATGGTCTGTGCTCGAGACGGTGGTGGGCTCACATCTGTCACTAATGCTGAAGTCACCATACACATTCTCCAGACGACTCTGGCACCTGCTGAATTTGAAAGGCCTAAGTACACTTTCTCTGTTTATGAAGACGTGCCTGAAGACAGTCCTGTGGGAACAGTGAAAGCTAAAGAGTCCTTGAGTAAGTACTTAAGTCTTATGCTACATTGAAATCCATTATTGGAACACTTTCTGATCATAGCAAACCCCTTCTTTCAATAACACAAGAAATGACTGTACATATGGATATCACCAGATGGTCAGTACTGAAATCAGATTGATTATATTCTTTGGAACTGAATATGGAGAAGTTCTATACAAAACTCTGAGAGATAGTGGAGGACAGAGGAGCCTGCGGTGCTGCTGTCCGTGGGGTCACAAAGAGAAGGACATGACTTAGCGACTGAACAACAACAGGCGCATTTGCCATCTGCCTCTGCGGGCACCAGTCCTGAGTTGGTGCAGCTGTGACCTTTGACCTGCCCTGAGGGGAATTCAAGGGGGGAAAACAGGACTGAGCTATCTTGTGCTTCAGAAAACTGGTGGAACAGGCCTTTAGATAATTACAGATTTTCAGGAACTGGTTTTATGAGTCCAATCTTGGCATCTCCTCGTATCTAGAAAAGCACTAAATCACTCCATGGTGACATCAGCCCCTCGTGACTAGCAGAAAACCTTTTGTAAAGAGAAGTGTTTGTTTGCATGAACTTCCCCTTCAACAGAATCACCTATACTGACCTTGCCTCTTGGGAGCAGTTTCTCAGAACTGTTGGCTGCTGTCCTCATTCTGTCCCAAATAAAACTTAACTTGAAACTCCCACACTGTGCTTTCTTCTTAAAGTGAAAAGGGGGGAAAAAAGGGAAACCTGTCGATAGGATTTTCCGTTGTTGCTGTTAATATTTGGGCAAAGAACAGCAACTTTATTCAGAAAGCCAGCAAACCAAGAGGACAGCGGACTCAGGTCCCAAAGAAGCATCTTGCCTGAGTTAGAGTTCAGGCTTCTTTTATACTAAAACGGGAGGAAATAAAGGCAAACGTTTCCTGGCTGTGGGCAGTCTCCGGAGGGTCTGTGTCCTTTCTCCTCCCTGCAGCCGTTCACAGGGAGTGACACTCAGTTATAGTCACAGCTATCCTCAGGATGACTTCGCTAAAATTCCCCTCTACGTCCCATTGTTTCTGCTGGCCAAACGAACACTAATTTACCCAATATTTGTTTTTCTATTGTCAACTGAAAAATGCACAATGTGAGAGTTTCGAATCAAGTTTTATTTGCAGCAAACGAAGACTGCACCCCGGGAGATAGCACCTCAGAGAGCTCTGAGAGTCTTGTCTAAACAGGTGTGCGGAGGTCAACGCATGAGACCTTGGCGAAGGGGGAGTTCAGTGCAGCCAAGCGCTTACTTCACAAGAGGTGTTCTGCTAGTCACCGGGAGCTGGGGGATTCAGTGCTCTCATAGATATGATGAGATGCAAGGATTGGGATCATGAAATCAGTTCTGAAAATCTCTTTCTGAAGGCCTGTTCCACCAGTTAGTTTCCTTGGAGCATGGAGTGCCTGCTTCTCCACCCTGAATTCCCTTCAGGGGGTGCTATAGGCCGGCAGCTATAGCAACACCAGGTTCAATCTCTGCAGGGCCAGATGGCAAATGCCCTCGTTGCTGTTCAGTCACTGGCAAATGCTCTTGGTGACCGCCAACTTCTAATTGACACTATCTCCATGCAAATTGCCTTGCTCCCTTCTGAAGTCCCAAACCCCCAACATCTTCTTTTGCATTTAGCTGAAAATGGTGTTTGAAGAGAGGGTTCTGGTAATTTTGGTGAATTACTCAGTTTTCTTGGGTCTTTCCCAGGTGGCTCAATGCTAAAGAATCTGCCTGTTGATTCAAGAGCTGTAGGAGACGCGGGTTTGATCCCTGGATTGGGAAGATCCCCTGGAGTAGGAAATGGTAACCCACTCCAGTATTCTTGCCTGGATAANAGCAGAGAGGAACTAAAGAGCCTCTCTGTAAAGGTGAAAGAGGAGAGTGAAAAGGCTGATTTAAAACTAAACATTCAAAAAACAAAGATCATGGCATCCGGTCCCATCATGTCATGGCAAATAGATGGGGAAACAATGGAAACAGTGACAGATTTTATTTTCTTGGGCTCCAAAATCACTGTGAATGGTGACTACAGCCCTGAAATTAAAAGGCCCTTGCTCCTTGGAAGAAAAGCTATGACAGCCCTAGATAGCATATTAGAAAGCAGAGACATTACTTTTCCAACAAAGATCTGTGTAGTCAAAGCTATGGCTTTTCCAGTAGTCATATATGGATGTGAGAGTTAGACCATAAAGAATGCTAATCACCAAAGAATTGGTGCTTTTGAACTGTGGTGTTGGAGAAGGGCCTTGAGAGTCCCTTGGACCACAAGGAGATCAAACCAGTCAATCCTAAAGGAAATCAATCCTGAATATTCATTGGAAGGACTGATTTGTATCTGAAGTTCCAATATTTTGGCCACCTGGTGCGAAGAGCAAACTCATTGGAAAAGACCCTGATGCTGGGAAAGATTGAAGGCAGAAGAAGTGGACAACAGAGGATAAGTTGAATGACATCACTGACTCAATGAACATGAGTTTGAGCAAACTCCGAGAGATGGTGAAGGACAGGGAAGCCTGGTATGGTGCAGTCCATGGAGTAGCAAAGAATCGGACACAACAATGCAGTGTTGAATAAATCTTTCCTTTTCTCCATGAAAGAATTGAGACCATATAATCTATGGTTTGCTCTTTGTTCTTTCAACATTATTTTTATCCTACTTTTTTAAATCACAAAAGTAATGGGTACTTTTAACCCATTGCTCATTTCACAGACACACACACTTCAAAAAATTTTATGAAAACACATCCAACTATATTTGCTGTTCTACAACGACCTTCCCCCCATCCCCCTGCTTCCCCAGTTTGTGTATTGTGGACCATTTTCCAAGTAACTGGACATCATTCCATCTCATTTTTAAAAGTTGCCTAGTATTTCAACTTATAAGTATAAAATATGCTTTATTTAAACATTTTCTTTTTTCTATCAATTTGAATGATTTACAGTTATTTTTGCTAGTCCAAATAATACTCAAGCAAATATCTTTATATGACTTGTAGAGGTTTCTCTGCAAGAAGAATTCCTAGAAGTGAATTACTTGTTCAAGGATTTTATCCTGCTCTCTAGTGAAAGTGAAAGTGTTAGTCGTTCAGTCCTGTCTGACTCTTTGAGACCCCTTGGACTGTAGCCCACCCGGCTCCTCTGTCCATGGAATTTTCCAGGTAAGAACACTGGAGTGGATTTCCATTCCCTTCTCCAGGGGATCTCCCGGACCCAGGAATTGAACCCAGGTCTCCCGCATGGTATTCTTTACTGTCTGAGGCACCAGGGACGCCCATCCTGCTCCCTAACCCTAAACCTAATCTATCTCCTCTTCTTTCCTGAACTTTTGGGGATGGCGCTCACCTTTTGTCAGTAGCTATTATAGAGAAGGGGCTTCCCTACTGGCTCCATTGGTGAAGAATCCGTCTGCAATGTAGGAGCCTTCCTCCATACAAAAGACCTGGGTTAGATTCCTGGGTGGGGAATATCCCTTGGAGTAAGAAATACTTGACTCTGCTTCCTCAAATACAGGCATCCACATTATTTTCTGAATATCTTTCTCTTTTACTTAATTCAAGAAGAGGGAAGGAAGATGGTGCAACCCGTGGGACAGTACTTTTGTCCACTAATACTTCAGAAACCATGTGTTCACTTGCAATAGGCTTTGGAGAGCCGATGAAGACGTGAGACATTGCGCAGTATTCTCCATGTATGTGATACACGTTAGCGTTTTCAGTTCTTAGCATTTCTAGTAGGTACATTCTTTCAGCCTAAAGTGATTGCCTTCTCTTTGAATTTCGTCGTTTCTTTTTTTCTTTTCCTTTTCAGATTCCTCAGAGCCAATTTTTTATCGGATCTCCTCCGGCAACCTGGACGGCGCGTTCTCCATTCACCCGTGGCTGGGCACCATTCGAACGCAGAAGCCTCTGGATCACGAGGCGCAGCCGGTGGCTGTGCTCACCGTCCAGGCACAGCTCGGCAGCTCCCCCGCCTGCGGCAGCACCGAGGTCAACATCACCGTCGTCGACGTCAATGACAACGCCCCGGTGTTTCCCAGAGCGTCTGATGAGGTCACAGTGTCTCAGCGCACGCTGCCCGGCACCGCCTTGTACCGCGCCCGCGCGGAAGACAGAGACAGCGGGCCGAACGGGCGCGTCCGCTACGCCATCGCGCGCCAGAGCCCGAGCGTCTTCTCCGTGGACGCGGGGCTCGGCGTGGTGTACCTCAGCCGCAGCCTGCCGGGGGCTCGGCCCCGGGAGTGCACGCTGACCCTGCTGGCCCAGGACCTCGGCGCTCCTTCTCGGGCGTCGCTGATGGTGCTGACGGTCATCATTGCGCCACAGGCGCCAAGCCCGTCTCTGACGTTTGAGCATTTGGTCTATCAAGTGGAAGTGAGTGAGGCGCTCTCGCCAATGACCGCAGTCCTGCGCATCCGGGCCCGGCCACTGGGCCCGCCGGGGGCTCCCCCGCAGCTCCTGTACTGGCTGGAGCCCAGCACTGATTCCGCTGCGTTTGGCGTCCATCCTTTCACAGGTTGGATTTATTTGCGGCGACAGCTCGACTATGAATCCACACAAATGTATAATTTTAGAGTGTTTGCCTGGATCCCAGAGGACAAATTGTCACAAAATGTGAGCACTTCAGTAACTGTTCATGTCCTGGATGAGAATGACAATTCCCCTACCTTCTCGCATGATGTGTTGTTTTTGAAAGTCCAGGAGAGTCCTCTTCCCCAAGGGGTAATAGGCAAAATCACAGCAATTGACAGAGACTCCGGAAAGAATGGACAGCTGTCGTATTTCCTTTTGTCTGATGGAAAGTTCTTCAAGATAAACCCTAATACAGGTAGCATTTTGTAGCTTACACTAATTCCTTTAAAATTGGAATTGACAAAACCCAAATCTTAAGTTACAACACTAGCGCAAATATATAGTTAAAATTTCAGTTTTTAGTAAATACTTTACTTGATGACAGTATTGTGATAGAATTTGTCCATACTGCTCTTGCCTCACACCTACATACTGTCTGTCCATACATGGTTCTTGTTTTGAATTAGAGCTACAACCAGAACTGGACTGGATAAACTCTTGTGTAAAGTCTAATCTCCCCCACCATATTTTTTCACTTGTAGATGTCTTTAAATTTTTCAAATAATATGTTATAAAACATAAATGTCATCGATGAAGAACTAGAAAGTAATCCATTAGTTAAGATTTCAAAATTACTCATTTGATGTATTTCCCCATTCTCATTTTTTTTTCAAGTAACCATGGGGAATGGGTAAATATTTACACTGAGGGTTTTTTTTTTTTTCAAGTCTTAAGTATACAAATTTTATTATATTTTAAAATTTACATAAATTTACAAGGACTTTAATTCTTGCAGCTACCTACAAATGAACTGTGTTTATACTGCAACCATATAGCTGCAGAAACTGAGACCCACATAGCTCAGATAGCATGCCCAAGGTCATGGGGCTAAAAAGAAGTGAGAAGGTTTACCACTTCGTACGTTTCCAAGAGGCACCATTCATGCTGTGGTCCTTGTACATGTTGCCCTTTGCTCTATGTATGTGTGTGGGTGAGTTGCTCAGTCTGTGACCCATGGACTAGTGGGACCCAATTTGAATTCAATTCTAATTACCTTCTAAGTGCCCACTGTGTGAGTCAGGAAAAGGTGCCCCTTCCTCCAGCAGATGGCGCTTTACCCCAGGACACGAGGCCTGCTGCATGGCAAGCTGCTCTCAGATCCCATTCCCTCCCGAGCTGGGCCCCCCAGCAGGGCGCAAGCTGCCCTGCTGCTGAGGTGATCTGCTTCTCTTTACTTCCACGTGCTGAATAGTTCTCTTAGGTCTTCTGTTTCTCTCAGCAATTTATTGTTTTGGAAATAAAATATACGTTTGGTCCCCTATGATCTTCTCTCTCACACAGTCAGCCCAGTGCCCAGATTCAGAAGACCAGGTGTCCGTCCACTCCTAGAACTGCTACATGGCTAGAAGCAAGAGGCTTCATTTCAGGGCTGTCTTACCTTGACGAGGAGAGAATTCCTGCCATGCTCCATGTCCTGCTCTGGGGGGTGAAGAGTTAAAGTGTATGAAGGGGCTTGGAAGGCTCCGTACTCATAAACTTCCTATTCACCAGGGCTGGGGACGGTGTGGCGATGCGGGGGTTGAGGGCCTCCTCCAGTGTGGTCAGCATGTGTGCTGTCCACATCCAGGACTCCAGGCAGCCTCGCTAGTGACCCTCTGCCCTGGAGCCCTGCATGGCGCCCTCATGCCCATCCTTGGCTGAGTCTCCCAGTCTTTTCCAGACAGCTGCCACTTGTCAGTCAGAGCTGGTTCATCAAGTGAAAGTCTGCCATTCAGCATTTAGGGTGTTCTGAGAAGAATTATATTTTGCAACGTTAAAAATGCAGATGTTGTCTTTGTCATTTTTGTTAGAATCAAACAGTAAATACTTTATAAATATAGTTGGCATAGTAAGGGGATATGTAAACACTGCATTTTAGCTTCACCAATTCAGCAACTTAGCCAAATATGAAATTTTTTGTTCCTGATTTCACTTTTTGTCTTGTTTTTCACATTGTCGTTTCATTTGGAGGATGAGGGCAAAAATAAAATCTTAGAAATGGCAATGTTAGGTAATAGTTTCTTCATGATTATTTTCTCACAAATTGATATTTTCATAGATAGGAAATTAATTACTGGTGGAACTCTACAGTGGGAGGTGGCCCTTGGTAGTATGTGGAAGCATTTACAATTTTATGCCTGAGTCTGTGGGATGAAACACTAGGGAAATAGCTTAGAAGACAGTTTTGAGCAAGAATATGCAAAGTATGGTTTATAAAGCATGAAGTTATTTGGGAACTTATTATGCTCACTATACATATATTTTTTGAGATAGTAATAAATAACTCTATATATTCTTTAGTTCAAATGGTTCATAGTAGATAATTTGAAATACAAAGAATGACAAATTGAAGATGACAGAAGAAACTTCAGAAAATTATTTCAACAGTGGAGTTAGATTACTAAAGAATGTGCTTTTGGAAGTTGTGCTCTGAGAGCTTTATATCTGATTTTCCTTTCTGGGCATTGGTCTGGATGGGGTTCTTTTTTTTTCTTTTTGGATGGGGTTCTTAATGCCAAAATTCTGGTGTCAGTGGCGTCTTTTCTCATGCTGCTCTGTGTTCCTCAGGTGAACTTATCAGCTGGGTGGCCCTGGATCACGAGCAGCGGGCACACCATCAGGTGACCGTCCTCGTGAGCGACCACGGCTCCCCTCCGCGCAACGCCACCACACTGGTGCATGTCTCAGTTACCGACATCAATGACAACAGGCCGTATTTCCCACAGTGCCTCGATGGGAAGGAATTGTCCATCAAGGTATGTAGAAAGTAGCCCTGCAACATTTGTATTATTTTTGGTCACTGGTTTTGAGCACCATCTTGTGGTAAAAAGCATGAACTTACCCAGTCAGTCTTGGTGTGGAAATGCATACATTTCTAGATGTAGAATTGTCCACATGTCATAGAAACCTACAATTATTTTTTAATTAATTTATTTATTTTAATTGGAGGCTAATTACTTTACAGTATTGTAGTGGGTTTTGCCATACATTGATATGAATCAGCCATGGGTGTACATGTGTCCCCATCCTGAACCCCCTCCCAACTCCCTCCACATCCCATCCCTCTGGGTCATCCCAGTGCACCAGCCCTGATCACCCTGCCTCATGCATCCAACCTGGACTAGTGATCTGTTTCACACATGATCATACACAAAAACTCAATAAACTCAAAATGGATTAAAGATCTAAATGTGAAACCTACAATTATTAAAAAAAGAAAAGAAAAAGTATACCTATAACTGATTCATGGCAGAAACCAACACAGTACTGTAAAGCAATTGTCCCCCAATTAAAAAATGAATGCATTTAAAAAAGAAAATGCTTATATATTCTAATTAGGATCACACATTCAGTTGTTTTATAATAATGTAGTTCTGTCTGTTGTACGCAAACATAACGGTACTTCATTATCAGTAGTGCTCAGATATGGATTTTTTTTCCAGTAATATTCATGCCTTTCTCTGTTTAGAGCTCAACTGAAAAACATCTTTGAGCCAGTTAGTTGAAGACAGAACAATCTGTACTTTAAAGTGAAGGGTGCACACGGGCTCAGATGCTCGGTCGTGTCCAACTCTTTGCGACCGACATGCACTCAAAGATTGTAACATTTGATCTTTGCAGGCAAATACAAAAACTTCTAGTTATATCTATGTGGTCTTATGTTTTTCATTTCCATGTTTTCGTATGTTTTATAAGGTACATAATAAATTAGCATGTTAGTTCATGTAGATAACTGATAAATGTATCTTGAAGGTACTCATACTTCTTTTAAAATGAATGGGTTATATAAATAAAAAGTTTGGAAGCTATTGCTCTAAAATAATTGAACATTCAAATTAAGCTCAGATATGGATGTTGAAAAACACAAAAAAGGTATTGAGGAAGTTAATAACTTTAAACTCATCTTGCAAAATCACATTTAAAGAAAATTCTGCCAACATGGAGCATTATGATACCATCCTTATGATTTTATATTATTTCATTTTATGCATGACATGGGTACAGTGTGCTCAGTTGCTTTAGTCATGTCTGACTCTACGATCCTGTGGATCGTAGCCTGCCAGTTCCTCTGTCCATGGGATTTTCCAGGCAAGAATACTGGAGTGGGTTGCCATGCTCTCTATCAAGGAGGTCTTCCTGACCCAGGGACTGAACCCGCATCTCCTGCATCTCTTGTATTGCAGGAGGTTCTTTACCTGCTGAGCCATCAGGAAAGCCCTGAGTATGACATTTCACAGCTTAATTAGGCAATAGAACATAAACTTGGAGTTCAGTGCCACATGTGTGTTTCAGTATTCCAGGAAAGTTTCTGTTAATGAATAAGATACCTTCCTGAAATAATAGTCTATGTTTATCTTTAGCATGTTTTGAATAACCTTTAGGTTATTCATCACCTAAGAAGGTGATGAATAAGAAGCTAGAATTCTTTTTGTTGTTATTTAGTTGCTCAGTTGTGTCTGACTCTTAGCAACCCCATAGACTGCAGCATGCCAGGCTTCTCTGTCCTTCACCATCTCCCAGAGCTTGCTCAAACACGTGTCCACTGAGTCAGTGATGCCATCCTACCATCTTGTCCTCTGTCGTCCCCTTCTCCTCCTGCCTTCAATCTTTTCCAGGGGGAAAAAAAAAAATCTTTCCCAGGATCAGGGTCTTTTCTAATGAGTCAGCTCTTAATATCAGATGGCCAAAGTATTGGACTTCAGCTTCAGCATCAGTCCTTCCAATGAATATTCAGGCCTGATTTCCTTTAGGATGGACTGGTTGAATCTCCTTGCAGTCCAAGGGACTCTCAAGAGTCTTCTCCAACACCACAGTTCAAAAGCATCAGTTCTTCAGCCCTCAGCTTTCTTTATGGTCCAATTTCCACATCCATACATGACTACTGAAAAAGCCATATCTTTGACTATATGGATCTTTGTTGGCAAAGTAGTGTCTCTGCTTTTTAATATGCTTTCTAGGTTGTTCATAGCTTTTCTTTCAAGGAGCAAGCATTTTAAATTTCATGACTGCAGTTACCATCTGCAGTGATTTTGGAGCCCAAGAAAATAAAGTGTGTCCCCATTTCCATTGTTTTCCCATCTATTTGCCATGAAGTGATGGGACCAGATGCCATGATCTTCATTTTTTTGAATGCTGAGTTTTAAGCCAGCTTTTTCACTCTCCCATTTCACCTCCATTAAGAGCCTCTTTAGTTCCTCTTCGTTTTCTGCTATAAGGGTGATGTCATTTGCATATCTGAGGTTATTGATATTTCTCCCTGCAATCTTAATTCCAGCTTGTGCTTCATCTAGCCCAGCATTTCGTATGATGTACTCTGCATATAAGTTAAATAAGTAAGGTGACAATATACAGCCTTGACATACACCGTTACCAATTTTGAACCAGTCCATTGTTCCATGTTTGGTTCTAATTATTGCTTCTTGCATCAAAAATCTGAGATTTTTTAGTCAGTTTTATTTCCTTTTTTTCCTCTCAAAATTAGTTTAAATGCTGCAGATAATTTGTTCAAATTGAATGAAACATTTAAATGTGTAATATGGATTCTTTTCATGGATTTACACTCATATAACCTTTGTATGGTAGACATTTGAATTATGTGTGGGTTTAAAAATAGCTTAAAAAATAACAGTAGCATTGTGTTCTTTCGTTTCAAGTTTCACTGATATTTCTTGTTTAAATTTCACCTACTAGTTTGTCATTCATTTGTCTTAATGACAGGTTCTGGAAGGTCAGCCAGTAAATATGTTGGTTACAACTGTGTTTGCAAAGGATCTTGATGAAGGAAACAATGCAGAAGTTACATATTCAGTATCTTCAGGTAAAAGTTACTATTCGTAAAGGATTAAGAGCTTTTAGCATTTCCTCTGTTGTCTACCAAACATCTTCCTCCTTCTGAGAAAGTAGTTAATGCTGAAAATAACACCAAATTGCACACAAAATGATTTTTCTTGTTTTTTAGAATCACCTTTTTAAAAAAGAATTTAAAGGTTTAATGTAAAATCATACATTTTTTTCATGTCCTAAAGAGAAATCAACCGATCATCCACTTTAAATGAATAATTTTCAATAATAGAAAAATGCAAATCAGCTTTTATTGAGGAAAGCACTATTAATAGTTAATGTATAAAAAGTGATATTGAGTATAAAGACATATAAAGACAGCGCTTCCCTGGTGGCTCAGATGGTAAAGAATCTGCCTGTAATACAGGAGACCCAGGTTCAATCCCTGAGTTGGGAAGATCCCCTAGAGAAGGGAATGGCTTCCCTCTCCAGTATTCATGCCTAGAGAATTACATGGACCAAGGAACCTAGTAGCTTGTATAGTCCATGGGGTTGCAAAGAGTCAGATATGATTGAGTGACTAACGCTTCCCCATAAAAACATATATACCATGAAGACATAAATACCAAGCACCTGTAAATCTCTATGAAAATTAAATATTCTTAAGGTCAGAGTAAATCATACTCAAAATATCACATATGTACACTCATGTATGTGTATGTGGGAATTTTACTGAGACAGGCTTATGTTTATGTGTTTCTTTGAGAATGCACAGGCATTGCATTCCTGTGATTGGGTCCAATGATTACCTTTAGTTGACATTATGTCTTTATACCATTTTAAAAGGCATTTTTTGCTTTGTCATGTTTGATACAAACATAGGGAAGCAAAAGACAACATTGCTCTTACCTGCAGATAATTTAATTGTCTGCATGGAAAACCCCAAATATGCTACAGGCAAACCATTGGAATCAATAGCATAAAAAAATTTCTGGGAGCAATGTCAATATACAAAAATCACTAGCATTTTAAAAACTAAGCAGGATTTCAAAGGTTTGATTCACTGTAACAAAGAAAATCATAGAGTGTAGGGTCTGGCTTGCTTCGAAGATCATGACGTGTAGGTTTCATGGTTCTTCACTTGCTGGGGCTTCTCTGGGATGGGAATATTGTCCTATTCTCTTTAAAGGAGAGCCCACAAATTAAATGTTTCCCTTTCTTCCAAATCGAAATCATCTTGATGAAAAGCATATGGAGGAAAATTTCAGTGAAAGATATTCAAGACCTTTGTGTAGAAAATTACAAAATATTGGTGAAAGACCTGAAAGCAGAAAGAAATGAAAATGAAAATCATGTTCATGCTGCATAAGGTGACAGAGTGCATTGTTCAGGGACAATGAACCTGCTGCAGAGAGACACACACACACACACACACACACACACACACAAGTTAAGCTATAATCCTTCCATGATGCCATTATTTGGAAAGAACTACAACCATGCTAGAAACTGTCCATGAATATACGGACTAGAGAGATACATCTCCACTTTAAGACAGAGACTGTCTACAGGGAAGAAAAAGGGAAATGAAATTTGGAGGTATACACAGGTTTTCTGCTGTACTTATAGTTTGTCATTTCTTTAAAAATTCTGAAGAAATATTGGGACTTTACCAACCTGGAAGTGTTTCCATGGATGGTCATCATATAGTTCTGAAAGTTTGAGATGTGGATCTTTTTTTAAAAATTAGTCTTTACTCTGATACTTGGGACATAGCAATATAAAAATATGGTGTTATCTATTATGTTATTCATACCCTTGCTTTAACTTCATCCAATTGCAAAATAGAGGCAACTACAAAATATAAAATAAAATAACAAGATAAAAATCAATATAATGGGAACATATATATTTGTTTACACATATATTTATATATACATATACATATCTTTGTTTATATCCTATGAGGATGGAGTAAATGGATCGAAGCATAGATATCACAACCCACAAATGTTACATAATTTCCAGCTCTGTACTCTGACTTTCTTAAGGGCAGGACTGCTTTTTTATTTGCCCTTATTTCCCCTATAACTGGTAAAGTGTCTGTTGTATTGTAATGACTCGTTGACAGCTGAATAAAAGAATGAAAGAGAGTCATTACTGGCCCAAGACTCTGACTTTTTTGGATTGTTTGAAGTATTAAGATTTTATGAAAGAATACCAATCTATTATTTAACAAACTAGAAAAAAAAAACCTTACCATAATCAATATGAATTAGAAACATCAATATGAACTTGTGACATATTTTAGTGGTTTCATGTGTGTTCTCTGTCCACTGAAGATGGCCTAGAAAGAATGGGTGACCCAGAAGCAGTGAGCAGAATACAGCCCCCCAATACTGTGTTCCATGGAAGAAACCAGGATTCCTTGGAGAAATGACTGACTCTAGGTCTCGGACAGGAAATCTTCAAGATGAGTCTGTAACATTTTGTTAAACCAGATACCAGGAGGCTGCTAAAGATGACTAGATCATATCAAATACTTGGGAACCACCTTTGTGCATGCGTGCTAAGTCGCATCAGTCTTGTCCAACTCTGTGCAACCTCGTGGACTATAGCCCATCAGGCTCCTCTGTCCATGGGATTCACCAGGCAACAATACTGGAGTGGGTTGCCATGCCCTTCTCCAGGGGATCTTCCCAGCCCAGGTGTCAAACCCATGTCTCTTGTGTCTCCAGCATTGGCAGGCAGATTCTTTACCACTAGCGCCACCTGGGAAGCCCTGGGAACCACCTTTAAGAAGATCCTAATGTTCAGAGATGAAGCAGTGTGAACGTCAGTAGGGATAATAATGGCAATAGATTTACCCTTTCATGATATGTTTAAATTTATGTTTGCTGCGGCTGTTGCTAAGTCGCTTCAGTCGTGTCCGATTCTGTGTGACCTCATAGACGGCAGCCCACCAGGCTCCACCGCCCCTGGGATTCTTCAGGCAAGAACACTGGAGTGGGTTGCTATTTCCTTCTCCAATGCATGATAGTGAAAAGTGAAAGTGAAGTTGCTCAGTCGTGTCCAACTCTTCGCGACCCCGTGGACTGCAGCCTACCAGGCTCCTCCGTCCATGGGATTTTCCAGGCAAGAGAGAGTACTGGAGTGGGGTGCCATTGCCTTCTCCAAAATTTATGTTTAATGACTCCTAAAACAGAAACTAAACAAGCCTTTAATGATCCTAGTTGGAGTACTGAAGGATGTTAGTAAACAAATCCATTATTTTGAAGACTGTTAAATAAAATTTTACTATCAAACATTTATCCTGACTTCCTATAATGAACTGCCCCAGTGGGTTACCAATAAACAGATAAGAAGACAATTCTCTTGAGTAATACATTCCAGTCAATAAATGAAGATGGGATCTTAGGCTTAGAATGTTATACTTTGCAACATTTAGTGAATCATTAATGGATCTAGGCTGTGTGCCACTGGTGCCCACATCACGAAAAGAGACAATCAAACATGTGCCTCTGAAGGAAAACACAACACAGCACTTAAGAAGCAGTCTTCCCCTTAAAATGAACCCTAATCTGATTAATTATCTACATCTACCTCCTAATTTAAGGAAAACATAGAGGACAGAAGAACATATTAAGCTACATGTTGGAGACAAGCAACAGGAAAATATAGATCATGGGAAGCTTCAGGATACATAGTCAATTCTTCAGCAGATGAGTTGCAAAATAAATAAATAGATAAATGGATGACAGAAATGCATAGACTGAAGAGATATGCATATATGGAGTTTATGTTAAACCTAATTTGAATTGACTAAAAAATATTTGAGACAGTTGGAAATTTTAAAAATAAGTAGAAATTTGATAATATGAAGGAATTATTACTAATTTTAAAAATATAATACTATGATTATGTTTCCTTATCTTTTAGAGATGTGTGTTGAAAAATATGCAGAAGAAATGATATGATTTCTGAGATTTGCTTCAAAAGAAGACAGGGAAGGGAAATATCTGAATGTCTAATAATATTAGCCATGAGTTAACAAATATTATTATTTTTATCCTTTTCCATATGGTTTATTATAGGATATTGAATACAATTCCCTGTGCTATGCAGTAGGTCCTTGTTATTCATCCACTGTTTATATGATAGTTTGCATCAGCTAATCCCAACCCATCGCGTCGCTGCCTTCTTGCCCCTCGGCAGCCAGTCTGTTCTCTGTGAGTCTGTTTCTGTCTCATAGCCCCGTTCATTTGTGTCATGGTTTAGATTTGACATGTAAGTGATATCAAATGGTGTTTGTCTTTCTTGTCTGACTTACTTCGCTTTATGATGATCTCTGGGTCCATCCATGCTGTTGCAAATGGCATTATTTCAATTTTTATGGCTGAGTCATATTCCATTGGGTTTATAATCTGCATCTTTTTTACCTATTCTCCTGTCGATGGACATTTAGGTTGTTTCTGTATCCCAGCTATTGTGAATAATGTTGCTGTGAATATAGAAACACATGTATCTTTTTGAATTGTAGTTTTGTCAGGATTTATGCCCAGGATTGGGATTGCTGAATGTTGTGGCACATGAGCTGATAAATACTGGAGCTAAGTGATAGGCACGTGAAAGTTCATTATATCATTGTCTAATTTTTAATATGTGAAAATTTCCATAATAAACTTTTTGTAATCTGTTACATTTCTTGTCTATATTTTTAGTATTATCCTTATGTTCATATTCTCACAGAGCTTAAGGTAAATAAATCTTCCAAATGATCACATATATATTTGTATTAATTAATTCTCTGTATTCTGCATTATTAACTAACATTCATTTCTTAATTTTGTGTGTGTGTGTATGTATGTGTAGAAGACAGTTCTGATCACTTCAAGATTGATGCCAACAGTGGTGAAATAAGAACAACTAGAGTACTTTCACATGATTATGGACCTTCTTACAGGATGACTGTAATTGCCAGTGACCAAGGAGTGCCTCCTCTTCAAGGACAGGCAGTTATTAATATTCAGGTAATAACTCACATCACACAAAGTGGTGGAAAATGCTCTGATGCTCTGAAAGATTTTTTTTACTTTATATACAAATGTATACAGTGAAAATACTTTAAAAATATGAATAGTCCCTTTAAAGAGTGTTGCAGATATATGTGTACATTATATTAAGTGACTTTACTACCATTTGAGAAATGATTATATTTAAATAAATTTTTATTTTAACTTTGTACAGTTACTGACAAGATACTTTCATCACTATGTGGATATTTATACTACTTTTTTAATGAAGAACAAAAAAATCTTTTCTTTTTTCCTAATTGCAAGGACCTGGTAAATTTGCAGAAGACTTATTTATAAACAAATGACCAATAATAAATCACATAGTTTTTGTAACTATTTTAAAAGTTAGAAAGTCACTTGAGATCCATATTTAATGATTTGTGGGAAGTCTTGATAGTAGGAAAAAAATTACACCAACCCATCAAAAACAAGATGACTATAGGAAGATTTTTTATTCAAGCACATGATAATCAGAAAAATTAACATAGGTATGAATACTAATCAAGAATATATATCCCCAAGTATTCTGTTTTCAAAGTATATTATTTACTGACGAAGGATATGTGGTTTAGGAGAAAATTCTATCATAATATCTCAAGTCTCTAATTTCAGGTAAGCAGACACATGATACTTAAGTGTATGCAGATGTTGTTGTTAAGGAGACAAGGGTTTCTAGGATTTAGAGTAGCTTGTGGAACTAACTACCTTGGTTCTCATTTGCAAACTATCATTGCATGCATTACAGAAAACAGGAAGTAGAAAAATCCTGTGCTTTCTTATCTCCTAGATATTATGCAATTTTTAATTTTCAGAGACATACTGGAATTAGGCAACAAAAGAAAAGACATTTTCTCATCAACTAACATATATATATTTATTTGTAATATGTATATATACACATCATGAATAGAAGGAATTAGCTTCCAAAAGAATAGCAGCACCTGTGTTGATTAAATTATTAAAATACTGCAAATTAACAGCTCCTTTTTATTCTTATTTCAGGTGATACCACTATCCAAAGGGAGAACTGTAATTTCTCAGAATATTAGACATTTAGTTATACCAGAAAACTTGAAGCCTTCAAAAGTAATGAGCTTGATAAAGTCACCTGATCACCTTCAACGACAGCGTGGTGGAAAGTTGCATTTTAGTATCGCTGCAGATGACAAGGATGGTCACTTTGAAGTGGACGGCTCAACAGGAGACTTGTTCCTCTTTAAGGAACTGGATTATGAAATGATGTCTCATTATCTTTTCAGGGTGGTAACTGAAGACCACAGCAGAAGCCCTCCCGTGAATAGCACGGTCTTCCTGAGTGTTGCTGTGGAAGATCAGAATGACCACTCCCCATCTTTCCGGGAGGAGTTCATTGTGATAAGCGTAGCAGAGGACTCCCCCGTTGGCACTCTGGTGCACATCTTCAATGCCAAAGATGGTGACGGCAGTTTTTTGAACAGTAGAATACACTACTTCATTGAAGCCAGCCACCCTGGAATGAACCCCTTCCTCATCCACCCCTCCACTGGCACTTTGGTCACCACGTCTCCCCTTGACAGGGAGAGAGTTCCCACTGTTGTCCTGACAGTGACCGCATCGGACCAGGCTGTGAACGCGACAGACCGGCGACTGAGATCGCTGATGGCGAAGGTAGTGATTCTGGATGTGAATGACCACAGTCCCACTTTTACATCTTTCCCCATCGCCCGTGTCAGAGAGGATGCTGCGGTGGGCTCCTTGGTGCATCACATAACTGCTCAAGATCCAGATGCAGGAAGGAATGGAAAAGTAACATTCAGCATCCTCTCAGGAAATGAAAACATGGCCTTTATGCTAGATGAGTCATCAGGTACTGTCCACGTCACTGTCGGTTACAGCCTGTGATTGCGCGCTCGCATTTATCCTTTCCGGTGTCCTGTTACCAAGTGATCTTCTCAAGACGCATACCCATTAAGGAAATCTGACTTGACTTACCATTTAACTTATACAGGTGGTAGGCATAGAGGTTGTTTTCAGAAAACCAGCAGTAGTTAGCCTGTTTGTTAATATAGATCTGCTTTGTAGCTAGGTCCCGTTTCCTGGGTGAATATTTTACAGTAGCCAACTTCTTTGCCCTCATTGTATGTGTTCATAGGGTAGGAGGTATACCAAAATAAGGTAGAATGTGACTAGTCAACCACGTTAATCAAAGACTTTACTATCAAAGCATCTCTAAGATCATAGAAACATAGCCTTGTACATAGTTGGAAATCATGTGTTTTTAAATAGTTGGATTGATTTGGACATCAAGACCCTCACTTTTCACAACTGAACCATTTTATTTTTGGCAGAACCATTTATTCACTCTTCAGTACTCTGCAGAAATGATACTCAATGTCACTGCTCTTGTCTTGCTGTCACCATATTGCCAGATACTGTCTTCTAAAAGTTTTGATGTAGCTTGATGGACAGTTACATATACGAAGTATCAACCTTGTAATACTGACATTTTCTCACCAGTTTATATATATATGTGTGTGTGTGTGTGTGTGTGTGTGTGTGTGTAGGAAAAAAATCTCAGATGTATACCATTTGGCCCAACTGTTAATAAGAACATTATTTGAAAGTGAGATTGAATGTGTAGGATTTGGAAGTCATGATTATAGTCTGGCTATATACTGTTGGAAAATTTCATCAAAATATTTATTAAACCCTGTGCATATGGTTCCATTCTGAAGCCTGCTTGCACGCTACCTAAAAGCCCCGCTGACAGAGAGAGAGCCCAGACCCAGTTGCTGATTTCTGTTAGAGCTAGGGTCTCCAAGGATCTGTTTCAGCAATGCTTAAAATGCTTTCCAGAATGGCTAAGGAAGGTCTATTTCAGGTTGTTAAAGAGAGTGGATAAAAATAGAGTTGTGTCTCAGTAATATAGGTATCATGAATCTTGAACAATTGCAGTGGCTGTTTCAGATCTTTTTAACATCATAAAATGCTAATTACTGAATATACTCGTATGAAATGGGCTTTTTTTTTCTCATAAGGTTCATTTTTTTTTTAATCAAGACAAAGTAAGGTTGTGGCTTTTTTCTATAAGGTATAAAATGATTAGTAATTATTGAGAAGCCATTTTATAAAATATGACTCAGTAAACCTCTTTAATTAGTTGAAGAAATGTTCTTATAAACATATGTTAGATAAGCAAGCATCAATTCTAAAAGAAAAAATGTGACAGTTGGAATTATGTAACAAATATGTGTATGCAAGTTTTTATAACACGTGGCTTATATGAATTATGTACTTCAGTGGCAGTTGGATAGAGACATTTTATTTGTGAATTTTATTGTCCTAGTTATAAAGTCTTTATTATTTTTATTAATATAAAAGATAGTTAACTGAGAATAGTATAAAGAAACTATAACTTTATAACAGAAACTTAATCTCTTAAAGGATATAACCGTAACTTTGTGTAACTTGGTCACATTTACACATGAAGCGTCCTTGTACATACAGAGGGATACTGTTGGAGCCTTGTTATTCAGTTGCTAACTCATGTCCCACTCTTTGTGACCCCGTGGACTGCAGCATGCCAGGATGCTCTGTCCTTCACTGTCTTCTGGAGTTTGCTCAAACTCATGTTCGTTGAGTCGGTGATGCCATTCAACCATCTGGTCCTCTGTCGCTCCCTTCTCCTCATGCCCTCAGTCTTTCCCAGCATCAGAGTCTTTTCTGATGAGTTGGCTCTTTGCATCAGATGGCCAAAGTATTGGAGGTTCAGCTTCAGTATCAATCCTTCCAATGAATACTTAGGGTTGTTTTTCTTTAGGATTAACTGGTTTGATCTTGCAGTCCAAGAGACTCTCAAGAGTCTTCTCCAGCACCACAAC